CAGCGATTCCCAACCTGTGGTACGCGTACCCCTAGGGGTACGCGATAGGTTGTTTAGGGGTACAGAAAAAAGTTAGTTATTATGGCAGAAAAAATAATATATTATGTATCACAAACTAATAGTATTAAAAAATTATTAGATATAAAATATTTCTTGCAACAATCACAACTTTATTATACATTTTTTCATTTAGTTTTTTTTTTTTTTCTTTAATTTAAAGTTACAATATGTAAAATTAACAATACGGGTACTCACTAAATTTCTTAAATGAGAGGTACAATCTAGAGATATGACATGTCATGGAGTACACTAATGAAAAAAGGTTGGGAACCACTGATTTAGATCAAAATACCTCCATGCTATAAAAGAACAACAGACCAAGAACAACTCGTAATCTGGTCAATATGGCTTTGCTTTTACAGTACATTGTTTTCAGTTGTCACCTTACCCATGGACTACCCTTTTTCTTTCATCTCATAAAATACTGCTGGGTTTTGGGATTGCAAATTGAGTTATAAGTAGCAGATCAAGATATTTGTAGGACTTTAAGCTAATACATTTGGGCGACTTTAGGCACTTTAAAAATAATTAGAGCTACATTTCAAGGAATTTAGGTTTTATAAAAAAATAAAGCAACCTGGCAACCTGTGAGGTTCTCACTGGATACATTCGTTTTATCTGCAGTTTATTAATAATAATATAAATAATTAACAAAAATAGTTCTGTATACTTTTCTGTTTACCTAATAAATTACATTGGTTATGTGGCATTTGGCATACTGTACAGAAATATGTAAATCTAGATAATTCAGTGTCATGATTATTTTGTCCCTTGAATTTCGAACTAATGAGGATTTCCTGTAATACTGTAAAATTTATATAATTTATAAAACTATATTATTTTTAGAAAATATTAATTTTATTTTAAAAAGTTGTCTTATAGAATCTTCATATATGTTGTCTAGACACAATGATTTATTACATAACTGTTCATCGTAATTTTAAAACTTTTTTTCATATTTAATTTATATTTTGATAATTATGCATTAATATAATTCTCTTTTAGTTTGTCCTGATGCAAACCAAATTCCACATGTATGTAAAAATGAATGTATGAAAGCAACTTGTACAGCACATCCAGATGCAATTTGTATAGCAGATCCCTGTAATGAATGTTCTGTTATTTTTGTAAATGCTGATGGAGAAAAAGTCAACTGTGAAGGTAATATCTTAGTCTTTTATAATTTAATGATTAAAACTAGCAACATCTTAATACAAAGTTAAAACAATTTCATATCAGAAGCATTATTTAATAAAGTTAGGAATTCTGTTTTACTTATTTTGAGATTATGCATAGCATAACTTAAATACAAAAGAATATTCTAAAAGCATTAAAGAATTTTTGTAGTTTGAATCATACTTAAAAAGAAAATTTTTGCTTTGTTTTATATATCTATAGAATAGCACAAAATGTAAATATAAAACTCACATTAAATAAATAAAGAGAATATTCAAAAATTTTTTATGCTATACTGTATATATTAGTTCAATATGTTTCATTCGTAATTTACACATATAAAATGTTAATATTTGATTTCTTTCTGAACATTTTTCAGTACATAATAATCAGTTTTTATTAATTGTTACTATTTTTTCCTTTGAATCATGTAAGATAATAGTTGGTCATTTTCAAAGCACAAGAAAATGTCAAATAGAGTTAGATCTTACAGAATATGGAACTTTCTTAACTTATTTAAGAAGATATTGAATTGGCCACTATAATCAGTAGATTTGGCTTTATAGGAGTTTTTTTGAGAAACTTTGTAAAAGATGAGTTTTGTATTCCATTGATACCTGTAACTGTATTTTAAATAAGCATAACAAGAATGAGAACAATAACTGACAAGTAAGTTAATATTCTCTTGTTACTGTTAAAGTCGATTTTGTCCATTTTGTGACAGTAGACAAGATTTAATTTGAGATTACAAATGAAACATACGTAAATCTCATTCAAGATATTTTGTACATAATGTTTCTCTTACATTTTATTTTCATGGATGTAGTTTCTTTAAATTGCTCATGTTTTGAATCTCTATATAAATATAGTCCTTTTAATAAGTAATCTTTTAAATATTTCTTTCTAAAAATTTTTTTAAGTTTTGTAAATTCCGAATTTTTTTTTAAATTAATAATAATAATAATGTTCTATATTTCAATATTTTATTATTATTAACATTTTATAAAATGTTAAGTTATGAAGATTTGATTACTCTAAAACTTCTGAATTATTATTTTTAAGAAAACATATGTCTATCTTTATAGTTTTACTATAACTAAATTATTTTTTCATAATATTNAACTTCTGCTGGTAAACATCATCAATTGTCAAGCAAACCAACATTGAAATTCTCTTGACTGGATGATTATTTTGCATCGCAGAATATTTTTACTCAAAATACCTCAGAAGATACTGTGTTAATCTTCTGCATCTGCATCTGATTTTCGTTATTAAATTTCATTTGGTGACAGTTTCACCATATTAACATTATATAAATGTTTTTAAAATTACCATTACTAATTCATTATCATCAACTTTAAAATTTGGTGAAAGTTTAATTTATCCAAAAAAATAAATAAATAATTGTAATTATATTCAGTATTTATTTTCTTATTTAAAACCTATTTAATAATTTATTTGTAGCCAAATGCAGTCAACCTCTACTTGTTGGAACTTGTCAAAATTCTCTTGTACGATATTTCTTTAATCAAAGTAGCCAGTTGTGTGAGCAGTTTATTTACAGTGGTTGTCAAGGAAATGACAATAATTTTAAGTCATTTGAAGAGTGTCAAACAGAATGTGAAAAGCCAGGTTAGTTTCAATTCTATTAAAATAAATTACCTTTGTTTAAAATCCATCTTATAAACAAAGCATTGACAAATATATATATATATACACTAACCTTATGAAGCTTTGCAAATATTTTTAACTTACCATGAACATTTTTGGTCTACCTTAGAACCTTCTTCAGGTGGAGTTCTATTAGAGAAAACCTTTTTCAATGCAATTCTATTCTATTCCGTTCCAATATGTTCTAATTTTCTTTTGAATTTTCTATGTATGACCCAGCATTATAGCTGCTGACACAGGCGCACATTGTTAGGAACTTTTAAAATTTAAAAAGAAAATTAGAACACATAGGAAATGGAATAGAACAGAATTGCATCAAAAAAGGTTTTTTCTAATAGAACTCCACCTGAAGGTGGAAGGCCCTAAGGTGGACTGAAAACGTTTGTGGTACATTAAAAATATTTACAAAGCTTCATAAGGTTAGTGTGATATATATATTACCTTTGTTTACATGTTAAATGTATAAATTCATTTATACATTTATATTACTCTAGACTTTCATTTAATCAAATAATATTTTATAATAGTAATTTATTAGCAAAAACTTATATTTTAATTAATATATGACACTTTAAATTAATTTTTTTTTCTAATTTCAGTGCCAGTTTGTGAGCAACCAAAAGACCTAGGAATGTGTCGAGCTCAAATTGCTCGTTGGTACTATAATAAGGAAACTTTCCAATGTGAACAATTTGATTATGGTGGATGCGGAGGAAATGATAACAATTTTGAAACCAAACAAGAATGTGAATCCAAATGTCCTGGTTAGTTTTGATTCTATATATTTCAAACTACTTATTTGTCATTTATATGAAAACATAATATTATTATTGTTTTTAGATTTAATATTATGTCCTCAAATCAAACCATCTGGACAGGTATTAGAACCATGCAGTAAATCAAAAGCCTGTGCCAATGAAGTTTGTCCAGGTAATCCAAATGCCATATGTAGTGTTGATCCATGCACATGTTCAGTAAAATTTGTAGATCTAGATGGTCATCCAGTATCATGTGTCATTCAACCAACACCAAGTAAGTAAAATTAAATAGAGTTTGTTTAATAACTTAAAAGATTTTATAATAAAGTGTATTTTTAGTGCCATCTGAATTAATTACACCAATGATACCACAATATACTCGGTGTGAAGGCTTTTTGCAAAGAGCATTGTTACATTGGACAGAGAAAGTATATACACCTCAATGTACTGAAGACGGAAATTTTGTTCCTACACAATGTGCTCCTACTAGTAATTTTGAACAAGAATGCTGGTGTGTGGATGAATCTGGATCACAACTTCCCAATGGCATTACTTTTCCAATAGGAAAAGGAAAATGTGGTATATATTTATTAAAAGTTTAAGGCTTAAAAAATATAAATTTGTATTTAAAACATTTTCATTTTTTATATCAGAATTTGTAAAAGTGAAAAAAGTGAAAGTATCCTTGGTCTTCACTCACAACTATACAATTCCAAATGACAAATTTGAATCCTTGATCAAAAGGTATACTAAAATATTGCAATACTCTTAAAAAGTCTATCAGATTAATTTTTTACATAAATTGAATGTAAAAAGCTAGTTCATATTTTATAGTTTTCATATATTTTTTAAAATGAATGTATAATAATATTAATTTAAAATATATATACAAAACTTTGTCAAATCAAATTTAAATTTAATCAGCTAGAAGTTAGTTGTCTGATAAATTTTAAATAATATAGACAACTTTTTTTAATTATAAATTTGTTAAGTCTTATTATGATCTACTCTGTATAATCCAATTATGAGGCTTGCTCATATCAGAAAAAAATTGAATCCAGTAGTATATCTTTTGAATTGATTTTTTCTTTAGGTTTTCAGAAAACCTAAGTTAATTTAGTTTCCAATAAGCTGTTTTAGATTTTCATCATTTCAGTGTTAACATTTGAATATATTTAAAAATGTTATAATTTAAAATTTACAAATATTGAAAGAAATGTTAATATCTTTATTCAAAATACAATGTTATATAAAAATATAAATTTCAGTTAGAAATTTCAACTTAGAAATAAAAAAATATATATATGCATACTGGATTTTTTAGGTTGAAGTATAGTTGTTCCATTTTACATTAATGTATTTTAATATTATATAAGATTTTACAAATAATTATATTATTCATCTTAACTAATTTCAGATTTTTGCATTTTATCTATATTCTTGTGCAAATAGAAAGATCAATAAACAATAACAATTAATTGATACATTAATCACATATAATATGAATATGTATTGTTAAGAACAGTAGATATTTCTAAAAATATAAAATTGAAATATATAATTCAAGTCTAAGATTTATATGTTTATATGATATGTCATCCTGAACAGAGATGGACAATTTTTTAAATGTTGAACTACATAAAATGTGTGTAGGTCAAGTACATATGTGCCTCTCACAATTTTTAAGATTATTAAAATGGCTTGTAATAAAAAAAAATTGACATTATCATCTATTTTCTTTGTAAATTAAAACTGTTTATCATGAATTTAATATGTAAACAGTATGATTCTTGATACTATTGTATATCCTTTGTCCTTTTGTTATGGAAAAACCAGGAAGGCAACTTTTTACTTTTATTTCACAAAATGCATTTTAACTTGTTCTCTTAAGAATCATCATCCTCAGTTAATAAAAGGTTATAATCCCAGGAGATCACATCTTTTGTAAATAAAACAAATTACTTTAAAACCTTGACTGCCCTCAGGTATAAGCTGCAAAAGTGAAAGTTGTAAAGAAATGTTGACTTTTTTTGTGGATAGGCCACTCTCATATTTAGGATGCAACCTATAGTCACTGTATTAGGTATGAATCCAGAATAAAAATCAATACAAAAAGAACAGCATCAGGAATAGCATTATATATGTAAATCTCACTTTGCTATGTACTAGAGTAAATTGTATACCATTTTATTGGTCACTTTTGCCAATTCTTAAAATTATTATTACTGATATAATTTACTGCATTTTTCTTTTGTATTGTAGTTAGTTTTCACCAATAATCCAATTTTTCATATATTACCTTGTGCATATGCAAGTGGTGAATTTTACAAATATAATCTTCTACAGACCATGGCATATACAAAGCTACAATACTGCACAAATTTTATGTAATGCATATTGTGATCTTGTATATATTTTGTTTTATAGAAATTTTTTTGTTCATTCTTTTTTATATAAAAGTGATCATGGAATTATAACCTTTTATAAACTGAAGAGGACCATCCTTAAGAATGTATATAGAAATGCATTTTGTGAAATAAAGGTTAAAAAGTTGTCTCCTGGTGTCAGGTTTTTTCCATGATAAAATAAGGAAAAAAAAAAGGATAAACAATAGTATCAAGAACTACACTGTCTACAGCATATTAAATAAACAGTTTTAAGTTATTTATTGTAATATTTATATTCATACATATATGACACTTTAAATTAATTTTTTTTTCTAATTAATAAGAAAAATATAAATAAACCCAAGATAGTTCTTAATAATAAATAGGAATGGGTAATCTATGGCCTACAAACATATTCTATTCTAAATCATAAAATTTTGTCTTTTACTGCCACTTTAGAATTTAAAAGCATGACATACTTAAGATATTATAATTGAAATGTGATTAATGATTTATTGTATATATGGTAGCCCAGCAGTCAGATTATATGTTAATAATAAAATAATTGTTTTAATAAAAAAAAAATACATTAAATCAACACTAGTATTAAATTTTCAGCTTACAAAAATGTATTAAATCTAAAATTGTTCTTGTATGCATAACCCACAAGTTATCTGTATTTACAGGATAATTTGATGGGTGCAAATTATGCATTGATTTTAAACTTGCACATATGGAGCAGCCATTGTTCATAGGCTTGGAGTATTGTGGGGTATATTATACAAAGGTTTTAGTTTCCTTCTAGCAATTTGGTATTTTCTGTTTTAAGCTTAACTATCAACAGTTTAATCATCAATCAGTTTAAAATTCCAAACAAATATAGAAAATTGTCAGTGTTTTAAAATCATGTGTAAATATATATATAAATTTTTACAATGAATTTCTTTTAATTTAACTTAAAATATTTATTCCAATTTTTTAAATTTACACTTAATTTTTAAATATTTTAGTTTAATAAGTCAACTGCTTAATGATCTCTCAGCAGTGGTTTACAATGATGTTGTTGATGTTTACATTAGACCAAATGATGCAAAAGTTCAGTTTGTATTAGTAGGGGATAATAATGTCCAAGTTGCTTTCCAATTAGAAGAAATGGTAAATATATATATTTTAAAAATTTTTACATAGAGTTATTATATATTGTATTACTGTATTAATATATCAAATTGTAATAAACACAAAAATTTACATAATTATAAATAGAGTATAAAATAAAACTTAAAATGCAGAAATATTTGGCAAAAAGTCAAATGTAAAAATAAAATAAGAGCATTAAAAATAAAAATTTAATTAAAATTACATATTTTTTTCTTGACTTAAAATAAATGATTTCAAGATATAATGTTTAATTTTTAAGTATAATGGTTTATAAGGGCTTTATACCTCTCCTGCTTTAAGAAAACCATTGATCTACTTTTATTGGCTTTTAGCATAACGATATGATTGTCCAACATCCATTTTTTGCTCTCCCGCAGAAGTTTCCATGGGATTTCTTCCTCACTCATCTCCTTAGAGGATTTTATCTTGAAAGTCACTTTCCAAAGAGATGAGAGAGGAAGAAATCCCATGGAAACTTCTGTGGGAGAGCAAAAAATGGATATCGGACAATCATATCATCGTGCTAAAAGCTGATAAAAGTAGATCAACGGTTTTCTTAAAGGAGGAGACGTATAAAGCCTTTATAAACCATTATATCAGGGATACAAACAGATTCAAGATTTCAAGATATCTTTAAGAAAAAAGGAACTAATTTTGTTTTATAGAAATGTTTATAGACTTATTTAATAAAGAAAAATTCCATAATTGAGTTTTTAAAAATGGTATCAAATTTTAAGAAAAATTGTTTGTAAAAAAACTGATACATAAACCAAAATCTTTTGTTTGCTAAAATAAGTTCTGCTTTTTAAAGGGTGTATATAGGATAATATTGTGTGTGTGTGTATATATATAATATATATATAATGTTATTTGTTAAAATAACATACTATGTAAGTTCAGGCAGAAGTTGTCCTTCATGATACCAGATTTTGACAATTTTCACAAATGGGTTAGTTTTGTTCCTATATGAAGGCTTGACAAAACATTTTTAAAAAGTTTCATTTTTTTGGCAATTTTATACAAGTTTCCAAATTTTGAACTTTTTGGAAAAGTCATTTCTTGCATGTATCTTGGAAAATAAGTTCAACATGGAGATATAGGGAGATGTGGTTTGTTGCATTTTATAGATAAAGAGACAGGGAACAATAGTTTGTAATTCACTTTTTGATTGAAACATGTTTTGTATAAAGTGTTCAATGATCAAGGATGAATAGTTCAAACACCTATTGTTCTATTGAATAGCAAAGTTTGTTGCAGGTAATTTCCCATTTAAGATGTTAATGTCCAATAACGTTGGCAGTTAATCATTATGAAACAGAACAGTGTTTCCTAACTACTGACATAATATAGAAAATTTACAATATGTTATGCTATGAGTTTTGTGTCAACAGTATTTTAAATGGAAAAATAAAAAATTATAATGATATACATATATCTACATTGCAGTTGCAAGATATAAATCAAAGAGAGAAAGTTAGCACAGTAGTAGATCTCAAAGATTGGAAGTATTATATTAAGAAAAATAAATTGAATTTAAAGAATATCTTTTGCAATAATCTAGATATCTTAAAGAAAATAGTAGTATCCTTTTATATTTAAATATTAATATTTTCTCAGAAAATATAAATCATATAACATCCAATACAGACCAGAAGTTCATATATAATTTATCAGGGTGTCTGACTCCTAAGTGTTCAATGTCTGGTCTTGCTTTTCATCTATCTAATACCATTCAAGATTAACAAAAGACAGATGGAGGATGACAGTGGGAATATATTGGTCTGCAATTTAAAAATTTCAGCCCAATTATAATTAATATTAATATACTAACATGATGCATTTTGCAGAATTAATCAAACCTTGCTGAATGTTGTTCAGTGATTGCTACAATTATAACTTAAATCACTCAAGAATCTTAATTTTTCTTGAAAATTATTAGTAAATATATACATATATATTTAACTATTTATTGCAAAAAACATCAAATCCTATTTTTATATGCCACTTAAACATTTTTATCCATGTAATAACTTATTTAAACAACAATGTAAAGTTCTCATATATTTTGAAATATAGAAAAAATTGATTATAATGTAAATGTTTATATATTTATTATTATTAATTTTGTTAAAGGTAAGACAAGGTATGAAAATCAGCCAGCCTCCAGACATAGATGTTCCAGCTAATTTTGGACAATCAACTTTCTATTATATCATCGATCCTATAAAATCTTCTTCTCAAAGAGAGGATGTTTTAGATAATGGCATCACTGCTCATCATGTTTCTTATAAAAAGAGTGAAACCGAAACTGAAACTCTCATTATCATTGCTATCATATCAACAGTTGTTTTCTTAATTGTATTAGCAATTCTGATAGCAATTGCTGTAAGTAATTATTATTATTATTTTATTTTTTTAAAAAACACAGTGGTGGCAGGAATCTCTAGTAAATGAAAAGTACACATTCAGGAATATATTAATTTTTCTTTACTTCCTATTTGAACAATAGAGTTGTTTATAAATAAGATTAAATAAAAATTTGGATTTCATGTTAAGTAGAAAATTTCATACTTTAAAGTCTGCCATCAGCTATGTAAATGCATTATATACTGTATGTACATATTAGGAGTTTTATTTATAAAACAAAATCACTAAAACAGATCCATTACACTAAAACAGAAATATATTATTCTATTAATATTTTATGACTGTTTTTATACTGTTTAAATATCTTAAATTTATTTCTTCAGTTATCAAGAAAAGATAAAGATGAAAAACCTAAACAATCTATAATCAATCAAGTAAGTATAAACATTAAATACAAAATTTACATATACAGAATATGTCATTCTTTGATTGATAAATAAATCCAATGAAGTGTATTAACTTATATCTAATTAATCTTTCTGAATTTGTCATTTTAAAGTTCAATTGATTAGAAAGGAAGATGAAGAAATTTGAGAAATGACAGGTCTTCTGTCATTCTTGTATCTATCCAATCATAAAAGTAAAATGCATGTTATACTATAAGAATCCTATTTTTCTTTGATATTATAAAATATCAAAGAAAAATAAATTAAAAAATAAATATCAAAGAAAAATGTATGACTTCTTAAAAGATAATAAGCCATAAATAAAATTTAACAAACTATTACATGTATTGATAGCTTTTAAAGAATGACATTAATTTTCATTATCTATGGTTCAATCTTGTTATAAATATTACCATATTTATTATTATATAATTTTAATTTTTTTTGCAATTTATCTTAGGCGTTTTTCAATATGATTTATGCTCTAACTGGCAAAAAACAAGAAAGTAAAGTTAATGATGAAAAGAAAGAAGTGCAATTAGCCATACAGACAATAGAAGCACAGTATGAGAGCATAAAACAAAAAGAAAAAGAAGCAGAAGCCAATTGTCCATCAGAAACTTCAACATTTTACACAAATGTTAACGAAACTGAACAAGAAAAAGAAAAATGCTAATCACAAGATATTTAAAACATTTATGAACTAACAAATATTTAATAAAAAAAAATAAATAAATATTTGATCAAAGAATATATTTTATATGTTCAATTTAACCAAGTTTCTCAAATAGATGAATATCTCATGATAGTTTTACATTCCACACAAATCAGATATACTGTATAAAATATGCTTCCACACTTTTTATCTGACTGTTTAAATGGTCTTTTAATAAATTTCTATGGAGAGGTAATCAATTTTTAAAGTGTTTACAATAAGATTATGCCTTTGTTAACTATTGACAATGTATGATGATAAATCGTAAAAGTATATATGTATAATTTTGAGAAAAATGTAGACACCGAAGTACTATAGTTACAGTAGATATCTGTATTGATCTAGTTAGAGGTTCTTTTATGCAAATTTTGTTTTCACTTGTAATTTTTATACAAATATTTTCAATTAAAATCTTAAAAGTAGAAACTATAGTTTCTATCATCATATCAATATACATATATATATATATATTACAATTATACATCATATATATGTATATATACATAAACTGTACAATATAATTCAATTCCATGATGCGAATTGAAAAATTTTGTTTTATTTCTTTGTGAATTGTAATTTAATAAAATCAAATGGAATGTAACATTGCTTTAATTGTAGATAAAGTTTTGTAAAAAAAAAAAAAAGAAAAATATTTTTGTAGTGAAAGATAGTTGTCTACAAAGAAACTCTTTTTGTTTTACAAATTAAATCATATTTGGTTTATGTAATAAAATGACTACTTTAATAAATCATCCCAAAATGTTTTATAGTGTAAATGTCATCTTAGGCTATCTTTTTGGTAACAAATAATTATATGTAATGGGCATTTTCATATTATAAATTTTCATTCAAATTACAATTTATAAATCTAATATTTTGATAACTATATTATGACAAGAAACAATTTATAGGTTCAATTATATATGATATGATCTTATGCCATTTCTTGACATGTCAAATCAAAAGATGGCATACCATTGACAAACATTACATTTAAATACGTTACTTAATTTTATAATAAAACCAGTATGTAGATTTAAAATTATATTAAACTTGTATGAATGTGATCATAATAATGAATTCTCTCAAATCTAGCTTAAAGATGGGCAGAAAGAAAACCTTTATACAAGTAGACAGTAAGTAATTGCAAGTCTAACACACAATAATTATCTTTATTGAGGGGGGATGTTTTTGACAGTGCTGGCTATTGGCATGCTTTTTGTGACTTACTATTACAATCTACAATTCAACTGTTTGCTATTAATTGACTTTATTGAGGATGTCTTTTTCTACCATCATAATTTCTTTGTTAATTCTGTTCTTTTTACTTATTATTGGAGGAGTTGAACTTAATCCAGGCCCAATGTCTCACACACCACCTTCTCCCTATAATAAAGCTTCAACTTCTGCTGGTAAACATCATCAATTGTCAAGCAAACCAACATTGAAATTCTCTTGACTGGATGATTATTTTGCATCGCAGAATATTTTTACTCAAAATACCTCAGAAGATACTGTATTAATCTTCTGCATCTGCATCTGATTTTCGTTATTAAATTTCATTTGGTGACAGTTTCACCATATTAACATTATATAAATGTTTTGTTCATATATCAACTTTAATCTAGCAATGTTATTTAACACCTATTATATCAAATAATAAAGATTGAATTATTTATTGTCTACTTGATAAATACAATCATAAAAATTTATTATTTTTATCATTTTTGTTATATGAACATTTTTATTAAATAATGCCATCTTTCTTCTTAATTCTTCTTCTTAAAGTAATTTGTTAATAAGAACTTGGAAATATAGTCATTTAGATATGTCTATACATTACGAAATATAAATACTTAGATAAAATTTTTAGTTTTTATTATAACAAAATTAAAATAACATCTAATTAGTTAAAGTAACCATTTAAAAATATAAAGATCAGATAACTTTTATTAAACTCTTCAGCTGTTACATGAAAAATTATTATTATATTTGTATTTTTATAAGAAATCAGTTGTTTAGAAATATGGCTATGGAAATGGAGATTCATTATATAATAATGCATTATTATATAAATTAATATATTAAATAGAGATTTTTCAGCAGTATCTATTTCAAACACATAGATCCACATTTGACATTAAACTATTTTTACATTTTTATAAATGTAAAAATGTCAGTTTTAATGAATTATGTGATTGAATGAAAATCAACAACTTGAATATATTTTGAAGATATGAAATTTATTAATATTTACAATTTTAGTAATAATAAAAATAAATAAACGTCTATAGAATATTTACAGAAAAAATATTTTTAGTTTATCTTACATATATTTTATCGCCATTTCTTACAGAATAAAATGATATTTCTCGCAAATCATTATCCATTTCAATTTCTGGTTCACTTTCCTAAAAATAAGAATTTAATAATGATCAACAAAGATAAGCAATTTATTATTAAGTAACTATAAGATAATTTCTACCTTAGAACTCACAACCCATAAAATAATATCTTGGATATTTTGATTAAAAAGCCGACAGGCAAGCGTTTTCACTTTCCCAACAGTCATCATTGCTGTTATACAAAAAATCAAAATATACACATAAATAGTAGTAATAAAAGTAAATACAGGGTGGTCATAAAGTAACTTGCTAACTAACAGTGATATCAGGAGCAGTGGAGAAGACCTGTACATGTTCATGGATGAGGAAAAAACAAGAGAATGTCTGCTTTGTTGAATTCTGCTCAACAGATGCTTTTATGCCCTGCAGCTGATGTCACAGTAAGCTTCAGTTACAATGTTACTGCCTCACCACAAATGTGTACAATTCTTCTGTCCATGGATACTGGCTCAACCACTTCCCAAACACCAATATCTCTGATGTTTTTCATCCTACACATATTGTTCCAACATCTTTATGCTGTTTTTTCCCATCATGCAGAATCTCATGATGTTCTGAATTCCTGGTGTTTGTATTGGAAATTTTCAAGTTATGGTTATGTCAACCATAACCATGGCATGTGTTCTACCCCTTTTTCATATATTGCAAGTGCATGTCACCTTGCAATATATGAAAAGTATCCTGTATCCTGCAAAAGTTCCAACAGATTCCTCACTTTCCGTTTTCCCCAAGATTGCTGTTGGTTAGTCAAGTTACTTTATGATCACTCTGTATTAACAATTTTAATCAAATCCAAACTGCAATTTTTTTGTAATAAAATATAAAAATTACCTGGTAACTTTTTAGCAACAGGTTTTTTATCAGGATTTATAGAACAGCATAATTCTACTGCTAAAAATCATATTTAAGAAAAATGTCTTTCATTGTATTTTATTAACTTATATTTGAAGTGAAAAAACAGTATGTATGTTTACAGTCTGTGAAAGTTTAAGAATTTAAGTCAAAGCAGATTTTAAAATATGAAAATAACTAAAATAAATGTAAATTTAAAATACAATTATTAAGTCTATAAGTTAAAACAATGATTTGAATCATAACTAATTATTTAAACAATCTTAGAAAATTATTATAAAATAGCAATAATTTTTTACTATATTATCAGATTTCTGATTCTACAAATTATTTTCCTGAACTTAGAATAATGTTTCAATTAGCCAATTTTGCATTTAACTACTTATTTTTGATGTGTTACAACAGACTAGATTGATAATTTCATAGACTGATCTTATTATCCCTAACAAGTATAGATTTTAAATTCTTAAATGGATTGATCCATTTAAGAATTTAAAAATCTTTGTAAGAACCTTTTAAAATATTTCTCCATTAGAATGATTTGTTTATTTAAAATTTATCAAATAAACAATATATTAATATATAAAAATTTCACCCTAATTACCCTAAATTAGGGTAAAATTTCTGGTTAGTTCTTGGATAATACAATTTTTAATTTCATGATTTTGATCCAAATGTAACTTGTAAGTAAAATGAAATAAAAAAATAACTAAAATTGTTTTGCAACATCATTTAAACAAAATTTTGTATTATTATATGCAAATCACAAACTATTTTGTTTAAAATTAGACTTCTCTTTTAAAAATTTCCAGAAATAAACAACTTCCCTTAGCCAAAAATCAATAAGAAAATCAAAACCAATAATAACCATTTTAATAGCTCTGGATTAATTTTCAGAATTAAATTATTAATGAATGCTTATTCTTAAAGATCAGAAAAAAAAATTCAAATTACAAAGTTCTAAAATAAGCCAATATATACAAGCAATTGTTTATTGTGATAGCCAGGATGCAATTTTTAATCATATTTTTAATTCATTTAATTTAAAATATAGGCCTTGATTTTAGTAGTGTCTTTCCCCATACATCATATATTTCCTGTTAACAGTAGAGTCATGCTGGTCATCTATCAATTTGTTTATGGAAAAATTTTTAACTTAAAATAATGTCACTTCCAGTGCAAACTGGAAGTTCGCATATAGTTAATCGGGACCTCCTGCACATAAGCTTTCCATATCTGGTCTCAATTTTCATTTATCTGACACTGTTCTTGAGATTAAGGAAGACAGACAGATAGACAACAATGGGAATTCATAGGTAACTTTTTCAAATTGCAACCCAATAAAACAATTCTTAATCAAACTTATAAAAAAAAAAAAATGCTAAAAATGATTACTAAATAATTGCTATATTAAGCATAAAGTAGACATTCTTATTATTATACACTGTTTTGTATTTTAAATTAAAATATTTTTGGTTTAAAAAAATATAAAACAAATTGAAAAGGATACATATCAAATTATTTTTAAGTAATTCTGATTGTTTTTTCAGTTCAGAATCTTCAGGAGCACCATATTCTGAAAAATACAATCATTACTTTAAATACATTTGAAATAATCTTATAAACAAATAAAACAGAGAAGAGAAAATCAAATCTACATTAATATCAAATAAAGTATTAATTTAAAAAATTTATCATATCTGATAATTTGTAAAATAACAATGTTTATCTTTTATTCTTTCACTAATAGAATTAGTAAACATCTCTACAGAAATATTTCTTTCAAAAATCCTTAAGAAATTATGAATTTGCTGTATCTTATTTCAAATCATTTAAAACAAACATTGACAGAATACTTTATATTTAATTTTTATCTTCTTTGAGCATTTCTTTAAAAAAATAAACAATTAAAGCATAAATATGCTTTCTTGTAGTTGATAAAATTTAAATTATAATCATTTTATTCATATCTTCAGAGAGAGAGAGAAACAAAATAATATTGTTAAATTTCTTTAAATAAGAAATGCTTAATTTAATTTAATAATTTAGATATTTAAGACTCTATTGGTTAAAAACACTACTAAAATTAAGAATATATTTTGTTATTTTAAGATTAAATAAAACAGCAATTTACATTTAATAAATTATATTTAATAAAATTTATTAAATATTTAAAATAGTATATTTTAACATTCTATTTTTCAAAATTAACATGAAATCATGATAATAAAAGTTACCAAATTAAAATATTGTACATGTTTCATCACTAAATTTTGCAATTCTATGTTTTACAATATAATGGACTCTCACATATCCAAACTAATGTGGGAAGAGTGATTGAATATTAGAAAAATCCAGATAAGGGAGAGTGATAATTTTTAAATAAGACTGTAACATATATGCCTACAGTATGAGGTAAGTATAAAAAATGATTATTTTGACTTTGATGCTTATTTTTGGCAATCACAGTTATGATTAATTTAAAAATTATTGTGTTAAAGTTATTTTTTTTGTTCTCAATTCACTGATGAGCTGCTACACACACGAATGCCTCATCATTATCACATCAGAGGTGGTTATTGTATTGTGCTCTTCTACAAACTTCAATGCAATCTTAATTTTAAAAAAATTAAAAACTGTAAATACTGTATTGAAGATTTAAAGTAATGTACAATATTTTCAAAAATTTTTTTTTGTTTTTTGTTTGTCCAGCTAAAGGAGAGTCCAGATACAGCAGGGCCAGATATGGGAGAGTCTACTGTATATATAAGGAGCCGAAAGAGAAAATTATAGCAGAAAAATAATACACAATGTAAACTAATGTTTTAAAAGTTTATTTAGACTACAAACCTCAAACCTTTTATTATTCCATTTAGCATTACAGTAGACCCCCATAACACTGTTGATAATTCTGTGTTATATGAATTCTATGTTGTACGAGTCACTTAGATTTTACAAATATGTGAACCGTTTACAGCCCGGCACACGTATTTGTAAAATCTAAGTGACTCATACAATATGGATTCATATAACATGGAATTATCAACAGCGTTACAGGGTGGTTTACTGTATTTATGTAAAGTATCTTTAACATGTGTGAGATCTGGATTTTAGAAACATTTTTTTCCTCCTCTAATTTTCAAAGTATTTCACTTCATTTTTTTTACCTGACTCATTAAAACAACTTATCCCGGGGAAAGAAGATCGAATATCCCATCAACAACTATAGAAATTTATAACCTTCCTTCAAGAATGTAAACAGTCACCCATCCAAACATTGTCAAGCTAATATTGCAAGACAAGTTTATGGTTATCATTGGATTTCTTCACTTTATTATGGTCCTGGGGACACCTATGACCTAAACACCTGGTAAAGTAACCTCTGCTTTAGACAACATTTAATCACCTGACTTATTTTCCCAAGACAAACCAATATAAGGCTGATTTATCCTCCCCTCAGAGGAGTCTCTCACTGAATGCCAGATCAGTGACATCTAGGAATTCACCAAGGAGCCATATCCCCAAATTGACTTTGTCAAGTGCGATCCGGGAGTCTCAGTTGTGACTTTGTTAATTTGTGCATCAAATCAAAGAAAGAATGGATTTGAACCTCCATGAAAGTGTCCAAGAGGTATGATAACAAATTGTGTAAACTCTCTCTCAGCCCCCCTTTAACTTGTACTTGAGAGTTAGGGAATCTTGATAAGTATTTTGGTGTTCTGTTTGTTATTGTAAGTTTATTTGTTATCCAATAAATTTTTGGTTTCTTTGTTAAATGCTGTCATTTACTTGTTTATTGCCTACGCCTTACCGGACCCAACAAAAAGAATCCTGAGAGGTCGGGATCATAAAATGTAAACCAGCCATCCACTGACAAGTGGGTAGTTTCCACCAAAATGTTGCCAAGAAAAAGGCAAGACATCCGCCTTGCCTCTGGCTACCCACACATATAAGCAAAATTATTCTAGTTTAAATTTTACAAAAAAAAAAAAAACAACTTAAGCATATTACGATTTTTTTTAACTTTTGGAATTGGAATTTGAAACAAAACACAAAAAGATTTAAACTTTTTTATATTATATTTGAAGATCAAGATGAGCAAAAATCCAGTAAACATATGTTCCAAAACAAACCATTCTGAAGTCTCATATAAAGTTTTAAAAAGCATATCTTTAGAGTCATATAGGATCTAGTTTACAGCTCTGGAAAAATATATAAGAAGATTTTAATTTAATATAAAAATTTTTGACAGTGTATCCAATCAATGAAGTAGTGATAGAAACATGTATCTGGGTAGATGGAAGATATCTTAAATACTTTTTGTAACATTTATGATTTTTCAAATATTCTCATTTACAAAATTTTTTATTTGTAATAAATACAATTAACTATTTTCCTTTGTTAAAACTTTGTAATTAAAAAACAATTCATTGTTAAACACATGTTTACTAGAACTTCTTTTTTCATCTCAACTCTCTCAAAACAAAATATAAATTTTTCCAATCTTTTCATACATTTTGTATAATTGTGTTACATTGGATAGACAGCATAATTATGTACAGAGTGCATGATGTAATATTTGCTAATGTAATATCTATTTGTTACAAAAAATTTTGACATACCATTTGATATCCACTAATAATATAAAACCAATGAATACCAAACTTAGTAATTATAATTTAACAACCAAATGGGACAAAGCTATAAATCTCAATTTATTTATTGTTAAAATGCACCAAAAACTTCACATTGGTATTGTATTTTTATTTGATTAAGTAGTAATCCTCAATCTATGCCAGATCAGTATTATTTAATTGCTATTTTTACAATTTTTATTGTGTAATAGATTAAAATATTCATAGTAATATATTATTTATATTTATAATTATATCACAGAATTACTTTTTAGTTTATCTTCTACAAACAATTGTTGGAAAGTTAAGATAATGAAAACATTAAAATCAGTTTAATTTTAGATTGCTGAAATTTATTAAAAATTTAAATATTTTTGAGAATCTATAGTTTTGCTCTCAGAAGAGTAAGTAGATTTTGAAATATTCTCTTCTACAAAATATATATGAATGAGTTTCAAAAACTTTTAAAGTATTTAGATACACTAAAACACATTCTAACTTTTTGAAACTCATTCATATATATTTTATAGAAGAGAATATTTCAAAATCTACTTACTCTTCTGAGAGCAAAACTATAGATTCTCAAAAATATTTAAATTTTTAATAAATTTCAGCAATCTAAAATTAAACTGATTTTAATGTTTTCATTATCTTAACTTTCCAACAATTGTTTGTAGAAGATAAACTAAAAAGTAATTCTGTGATATAATTATAAATATAAATAATATATTACTATGAATATTTTAATCTATTACACAATAAAAATTGTAAAAATAGCAATTAAATAATACTGATCTGGCATAGATTGAGGATTACTACTTAATCAAATAAAAATACAATACCAATGTGAAGTTTTTGGTGCATTTTAACAATAAATAAATTGAGATTTATAGCTTTGTCCCATTTGGTTGTTAAATTATAATTACTAAGTTTGATATTCATTGGTTTTATATTATTAGTGGATATCAAATGGTATGTCAAAATTTTTTGTAACAAATAGATATTACATTAGCAAATATTACATCATGCACTCTGTACATAATTATGCTGTCTATCCAATGTAACACAATTATACAAAATGTATGAAAAGATTGGAAAAATTTATATTTTGTTTTGAGAGAGTTGAGATGAAAAAAGAAGTTCTAGTAAACATGTGTTTAACAATGAATTGTTTTTTAATTACAAAGTTTTAACAAAGGAAAATAGTTAATTGTATTTATTACAAATAAAAAATTTTGTAAATGAGAATATTTGAAAAATCATAAATGTTACAAAAAGTATTNATTTTAAATATGTTGGATGTTCGTTTAAAAATTCACAGCTTGGTTTATTTAATTCAGGATCTCTGTGACCACCAGATTTTAACCACTCCTCACAATATTTTTTCAGATAATCTAATTCTGCACCTCTTCTATCTTCTTTAGTTATCTAACAATTTTAAAAATTCATTTATATCATTTAATAACATATTTTTTATATTAGTTTGTATGGAAAGGTTATTATATTAATTTAGCCATATATATATATATATATGACTATATGATTAAATTATATATATTAAAATATATAATTATTGGGGTGTGAGTTGGTCATTGAAGGTGTTGGTGAACTTTTCAGTGCAGCTTANTATATGACTATATGATTAAATTATATATATTAAAATATATAATTATTGGGGTGTGAGTTGGTCATTGAAGGTGTTGGTGAACTTTTCAGTGCAGCTTAACTACAGTGTAATTATGTACCAGAAAGTATCAGTAATTTGATTTTGCTAGATTTAAGGATGTGGTTATTTGTTAATAGATTAATCTTGGTATTAATCATATGCCTATTATTAATTGCTGGAATAGAAGCTAATCCAGGCCCTCTTTCCTGTTCTCCCCAACATTTGAGTCAAATAGACATGCAAAAGAGGGAGTATGGTAGGCCACAAAAAAAAAATTTTAAAGAAACAGTCAAAGAAAATCAATTGGAAGATTTATTACATGAAGAATACTTTCCAATTGAAGAGGATTCCGATAGAGATAGTTTCAAAACCACAAGACTTAAGAAAATACCTGAATACTTTGAAACATTAAGGGATAAGGATCCCCTGGTACAGGAAGAATCACAATACACACTTAAATCAATATATGAACTTATACAAAATGACTTTTCACAGCTTAGTAGAGAAATACAGGGAATCAAGACAGAATTTAATTTAATGAAGGAAGAAAATAAGCATTTTCAAAAAGAACTAGTGAATTTGTCACAGAAAATGGAAGAAATAGATGCATTATTCACAAACAATAGCCTTTTAAAAGGTATGGTTGAATTTGAGTTAGATAAATTAACAAATGAGAAAACGAATAAAAATATTGCAGTTATTAATTTTCCATTTATTTCAACTGATTATGTTGGGAAATCCATCAGTTCATTAAAGAGGATTTGAGAATTAAAAATAGCTCTATAAAAAGCATAGCCAGGTTAAATAATAATGGAACTAACCTTATTATGAGGATCACATTGGATTCCTTGTACAATAGAAATTTGATGTTGAAAAAATTTTGGAAATTATTGGGTTGTTCGGAAAGTAAGTTCGTTTTTTTACCATTAGACGGATTAGTGGTATTTTTCTCGCCATTTTCATTCTAAACCATATTATCATTATATATTTTGACAGCTAGCATTTCATGGCTTATTTGTAAAAAATTTTGTTTGCTTTTGTGCAATTGTTTATTTTTTTGTGTCCCATCAAATATGGAAGATCGAAAGCAGCATCTTCAGCATATTTTGCTTTTTTATTACCAAAAAACTAAAAATGCCGTTCAAGCAAGAAAAAAATCATGTGACATGTATGGTGGAGATGTGTTGACAGAACAACAGTGCCAAAACTAGTTTACAAAATTTTGTTCTCACAATTTCAGTATTGAAGATGCACCACGTTAAGGATGGCCAATTGAAGCCAATGAAAACAAAATAAAAGTACCGATTGAAGCAAACTGCAGAATAACAACACGTGAAATCACTAAGAGATTAAACTTGTCAAATTGAACTGTTTATGAGTACTTGAAACAAATTGGTTTCATTTCAAAGCTTGATATATGAATTCCACGAGTTCTTAAAGAGAAATGCTCTATTTGGTGGGATATTAAGGAAATTTTTTTTGGAGCTTTTACCAGACAATTTAACAATTGATTCGAAAGTGTACTGCATTCGAGTAAACAAATTGCGTAATATCATCAAACAGAAAAAGCCGGCCAGAATTGATAAAAAAAACAGGTGTAGTGTTTTACCACAATAATGTCAAATTTCACACAAGTTTGGTAACTCGTCAGAAACTGTTATAACTTAGATGGGACGTGCTATCACACCAACCGTATTCGCCAGATCGAGCACACTCAGATTATTACTTGTTCCGGTCTGTACAATTTTTTTTAACTGTAAGACATTTACTTGAAATGACAATGTCAAAAATCACTTGGATCGGTTTTTTGTAAGCAACGATCAAAACTTTTATGAATGTGAAATCGTGCTACTACCAGAAATGATGAGAACAGTATTTGACCAAAATGGTCAACATATAATTCAATAAAATATTTATTTATCATAAGAATATTGCTTTTTTTCCACGGAAAAAACGAACTTACTTTCCGAACAACCCAATAAAAGCTAAAGACTTATGCAAAAGGTCTAGATTAAGAAGGAAAAAGCTGCAAACTATAATTAAACAAGAAAAATTAAAAGAAAACAAATTAATTATTAGAGATGATTATTATATCCAAAATATTCACATACGATACCAATTCAGATAAAGTGATACAACTAAATATTTTTTAGGAAGGAATAGACTAAGTTCTTAGAACTAATATTGAAGGATTCAAATGATGACTCAGATACTTAAATGTTATAATTATAAACCTAGGAAATTAGAATTGGTCAATTGGAATTGGAAATATAGATATATAATTAGTTAATGATAAATTAATAGGAATTTTCCTTTTATTAATACAAAATGCATGATAGTAACTTCTAATAAGGACTCTGGATCATTCAAGTCTGCAGGAAAAACTTCTTGGTGTTTGTCTTCAGTGAATACATGGAATTTTACTCTTTCATGGGTTTTACAGAATCAAAGTTAGATGAAATGCATATGGAAGTCAAGGAATTTCCAGTACGAAAGCATACTGTAGTAATTAGCAAGATGTATAAGACTGGTGGAGGTTTCAATTTGCTTTAGATCATGTTTATTGAATGGAGGTATTAGACATGAACAAATCAGTTTATTTTTCTGAAGCAATTAATACTAGAAGGGTATACAGAAAAAGTAAATATACTGCAGGTGCTTATGTTTTTCACTCTGACCAAAATTGGGAGTTGAGAGGAAAGGTCAATGAACAGAGATTTCAAAGAGAATTTTGGAATAAATATTAATGTTAAACAATCACAACAGGAGATTAAAAACCATATAAGAACTAGAGTAACTTAATGGCAGTACTGGAATTGTACCAATTTAAAAATGTTATAAGAATGCGACAGTTAAATTTAAACAGAGTTGATACAATAATCTGTTATGTTGTAGGGATTTTCCCAAATGTATAACGTTTGTTGTTTTTTTAAAGAAGTACTATAGTTACGAAATGGATGTTACTTCTATGTGTTGAATATGACCATCAATGTAAATATCAAGTACAAATTTCTTCTCATACAGCAGAATTGTAACTAATTATTTAATTAAACATTTTGTTAAAATCTTTGTAATCAAGTTATATAATATGTTTTAGTTTATATTAATGATTATGTATATCTATGTTAACAAAATAGTTAAGATGTATCATAAGGAATTAATGTGTTATGAGATGATTATGATTGATTAATATTTGAAATGCCTAACAGGGTAACAGGTTAAATCCTAATACAAATAAACATTACTTACTTAATATATAATTATTATAAATTGCAAATATGTTTTTAAATTAAAATAATATATTATTGAAAGTCACAAATTTAAAGTTTCAGAAAATTTCAAGTTTTAATTAATTTTTAATTAAATAATACAATTTTTGTAATATAGATAAGATATAATGTTTACATGCTATCTCTTGTTTCTTTTAACAGTGATATATATGAAAAAAGTCTTCAAGTTTACATGAATATAAAACATAATTTGCTACTTAAATTACTTTAATCTTTAGAATTTCAATATTTTGTTTAAAATTGATCATTCCTTTCACATGTAAACTTTAAAAACTATTTCATTGAATGCAAGATAAAATTATGATTGATGCAAAGAATTTAATTGTTAATTGTATGGGAGTGATGTACAATTTTCTCCTTGTTTTAGTATAAAATGAGCAATTACTTATTCAGCCTTGAATTATGACATTGTCATAACTCAGGGCTGCAATTTTTAATCATATTTTAATTTTAAAATATGTTTTTCATATCTGGTCTTGATTTTCATCTAACCAACTCTGTTCTCAAGAAACTTTTGAATTTAAATTGCATGACTAGTAGTCCAGACTGGAAGTTCATATATGAATTAGGGCCTTCAGCCCCTAAACTTTCTGTATCTGATCTCAATTTTCATCTATCTAATTCAATTCTTGCGATTAATAAAAAATGGACAGATGGATGATAGTAAGAATGTTTAGGTCTGCAATTTAAAAATAGCAGCCCAACAAAACAACTGATTGTTTCTATGTAAAATCTCATGAATATGTAGAATATTTATAAACTTGACTGTTTCTAAATATTCTCCAATCTGTAGGTAATTAGTTATATAAAAATATTAAATCAATAAATCTGATGAATTCAAATTCATAGTCTCTGATAACATCATTAAAAAAGATATGCTTCCAGTTAGTTTATTACAATAATAAATTGTTTCATCTCAGTTCATTTTAACAATAATTCTACTTTTAATCTATAATGATTTCATAGCAAGCTTTACATAGCTAACTCCACTTGGATCAAATAATAAATAATTCATGTTAAAGAAATAATGTTTTACTGATTCTTGCCATTTTTTTTTTTATTTTAAAGGTGTCTATTTTAAGTTAGAAAAGAATTTAAAATTCAAGAAAATATCTTAAATTAACATTTCTCAACTGTGGTTTAACAGATTGGTTCTATTCTGCAGAGAATTTTTAGTGGTCCATAAAAATTATAATTTGAAGAAACCAATAAAATCAAAAATTTTTTATTAAAATCGATATTTTATGATAAGCATATATTTTCGTTGCTAACAATGAACTTCCAATTCCAATTTCTGCTAAATATGTTGTGATCAACACATTGAAGTGTATAAATTATATTTACAAAATTGCATTGTATACATATATATTTTATATACATGTTATTTATTTCTATTTTTTATTTTGATACTAAGTTAGTTTACTGTATTAGACTTTTTGATGTTTAAATAACTATACACAAAAGCATTCTTTTAAACTAATTACTGATAGAAATTGAAAATCCATCAAAACACAATATATTTTGAGCTGAAAATCTGTATCTTAATAATCTTAAATTTGTATTTTAAAATACCTTACATACCATTAATCCATTTAAATATTTTAAAGAAACTAATTTGGCAATAACAAATTGATGTGATGTTTCTAATGTCTGTAATGACATTACTGGATTTCCTTTCACTTTTAATTCTTCAAGATTTTTCAATTTGTATAATTCTGCTATATCTTTCCACTAGTAAATGAAAATTAAGATTATTGTATAAGAAGCAAATTAAAATAAGATTACATCTAATATTGTTTATCTAAATATTACATCTATAAATATTTTAAGTTAATACATATAATATGCATTATATTTAACAATATCAAAATAAAGTTTTTGATAAATATTGAAGTATCACAATATCGATTTTATATGTCGTAATTATTCAAGAAAGAAAATTATGTAAATTATACATTAAAATAATAATAGAGCCATAATCACAGATAAAACAATTTACCACAATAGACCAGACATCACACTCATTGATAAACACAATAAAGATATATCCATTCCAAACACTCACAATATACAAAACACATTCACTGAAAAAATTAGCAAGTACACAGAACTCACCCGGAAAATAAGGCATCTGTGGAGGATAGATAGGGTGCTTATTGTACCTGTCATTCTCTCCTGCACAGGTGTGATACCACACACTACACAAAAGCCTGGGAACATTACAATTGAATAGAAATACATACATCACACTACAGAAGGCCACTATATTGAATACATGCCATATTGTTAGGAAATTCCTGAATACAGACACTGACACACTTATTTAATTTTTGTTTTTGGTTGCAATGCTTGGATTCTGGTCCGGCATAGTACACAGCCACTGGTGTGAACCAAGTATAACCCACTAAACCCAAAATAATAATAATATAAAACCATTTAAATATATTTTTCCACAAGGTAGATAAATTCTATCAATAAAATTAATTTAGCTTATTTTCTATGTAATTTCAAATCACTAGAAACTGAAAATGAAATAAAACTATAATTTCACAATTAACTTAAAACAATTTAATTACCAATTTTAAATGTTTACTTCTCTTTTCAATTTATAAATATTTTTTGTGGCATTTCAAAAGATTTGACATTTATAAATTTTTATATTTATATTATGAAAAAAAATTATGAATAGAATCAAAATTGTTTCTATGTTCTAGACATGTTTTTAGGGAGCTTTATTTGCAATTTTAATTATTATAAAAATTAGAACTTAAAATAAAGATTATAAATTTTAGTTTATGTAAAATTAAAAAAACAAAAAATTCCAAGAAATTTCTAAGGCATAATTTTGACTTTTTGATAGTGATTTATCTTATATTTACTTATAGAACTGCTGAATAATTTTGTTTATTTAAAGTTAAATAAACATATTATGAATATTTTCTATTAACAGATTCAAATTTGTAATAAAAAATAGAGTTGTTATACTATTTAGAAATATTAATAAAACAATCAGTAATATTCAAAACTAATGTTAAAAGAAATATAAATTTTTATTATTTAAAGTATTTACAGTTATATGTTAATTTTTAGTTAACAATATTGTAATTGAATTTTAGTAAATAATTCTAAAAAATATATATAAATCTAAATGTAATTTCTTCAGAATGCTAGTAAAAATGTTATATACATTTCTTAAATTTTATAGCTGTTAAATTCATTTATTTCTGAATTTAAATATTTAAAAATGAATATAAGAATAAATACAAAATTTACTAATCTTAAAGGCATTCTAAATCTAAAAAAATTCCTATAAAAATTTTGTCACATGCATTTTATAATATAATGCAAATTTAATTATTAATATATCTCAAATTTGTACTAAAATAACATTTACTAATATTTGTAGCATTCAAATATGATATAAAACAAATAAATTACGAAATCTGCTGAAATATATAATATTGGAGGATAATTTATCTAGATGTCTTTCTTGTATAAGTTTTGATTTACAACCTTCTTTTAAAACATCACATATAATTTAAAATAGTAATTTTAAAATATAACAAAAATAGATTAAATGCAATAGCTAAAATATTATAATTTTGTTTTTTAAATTTGCCTAGTTCTATTGATTTTTCCATTATGTCATTTTCTTTTTATTATCATTTTAATTCAAAGTAAATAGATTTATTAAAAATTATGTAATACTGGAATTACAAATCTAACATAAAACAGTACTCCTGATTGATAGAAATTTTATTAGAAATTTTTTTACCTGAGTATTCATTTTTTGTTACCTTGGTAACAGCTAGTTTGTAACTTTTTGTTTGTCTTTAAGATATTTCATACCAAAGGCATGCTGTTTTTCCAACTTTTCAAAACTTCCTATTAATTTATGTTTTTCTCTTTCAATTTATACAAAGATGTATTAAAACCAATTAATTATTATAATGTACAAAATTAATGATATATTGATGTAATATGTAGGCACAATTTACACAGCAGTTACATTTGGGAAAGTGTGCAAAAACAAGAATGAATTCAAACAACATAGATATAAGTTATTGTGGGGTCTTTTGTAGAATATACAATGAAAAACACCAGTTTTAAAAGTAGAATTAATGATTAATACATTCATTATGGTGGACAAAAACTATCTTTCCACTTCTTTTCTTCTTCTTACACCCTTGTGTTCACAAACATATGACTTAACAAATTTCAATAAATTACAAAATTATCACAGTTATATTAAAATTCAACAAGATTCATTCCTTAAGTGCATAATTACCAACTTAAACAATTTTTCAGTTCATATCAAGTGAAAATAACTTTTATAAATAAGATAAAGTTAAATAAAATTTGTAACAAAACTTACATGTACTGTACTATACAAAAAAATTTATTTAAAAAAATCTACTAAAAGTTACTTATACAGCAGAAATTAAATAATACTCAAAGTGCCATTGAATGATTAACTTTATATGCAATTTTAAAAATCTTGCCCAAACATATCCAATACATTAATTTTTTAACTTTTATACATATAATAAGACATTTACTATTCTCAAAAAATATCTTTCTCTAATTAAAAATTTTGGTTTGCAAAACTCATCTTTTACAAATTGAAATAAATAAGTCATTAGAAACATTCAATTCATTCATTTGATAGCTAAATAGATTAGTAAACATTTTATATAATTTAATAATTTTTTAAAATCATTTTGCTTGTTTACAATTTATTTATATGTGCAAATGCAATCTTTTAAATGAGTACCTGATGTTCAATATTATATTTTGTCAGATGAAACTTAATACTTTCTATAATAAGTATAAATCAGAACTAATGCATTATGTTTTGGATTTGTAATTTCATTTTAATACAGTTTTTAATAATTCTGTTTCAGTTTTTCATTATAATGTGAATAATTTTTTAATTTTAACTGAAATAAAATAGTTTGACTAGCAACATACTTAGCTGGAATATAAGATCTTGTGGAATCCAAATAACTCAAGTCTAACCTACTCTTTTCCTAATCTTATGAATTTTGTTTATAATAATAAATTATTTATTAATATTTAATGATATATTTACTTTTAACAAAAATTATTTCTAGCATTAATATATTTAATTTTCAGATGAATATATTTGATCAAAATTAGATATTTTGGCAGATTATGGCATTTATATTTGATAAAGAATGTAATTGACTTTTATATTTTTATTTAGATATTTTTTAATAAATAAAATATTATAATTTCAATTTAAATAAATTTCACTTTATCATTCACTATATAAATTTCAAATAAATTTCACTATATCATTCAATATAAATATCATCACATTCATTTTAAATAACTTAGAACAAATTTAAATAAATATATATACTATAACAAAATTCATATCAGATTTTCCAAAGTCAAAAGATTAAAAAGTATTGTTGAAATAACATAAACAAATACATACCTCAGATAATTTATTATTTGTTAGATAGAGACATTTCAAGTTACTGAATAATGCTTCTGTTGTAGAATTTGTTGCTGGAAGTGTAATACCACATATTTTTGCATTTTCTGCAATTAATTTTTCTAACCTAAATGACATGAAATTAATCATATTAAATAAGACTACTACAATTTTCATACCATAAAATCACAAAATTTAAATTAATTCAAACCTTGGAAGCTTTCCTAACTTATTTATTTCTTCCCAATTCCCAATCGGATTATCAGAAATATTCAATGATTGGAGATACATAAATATATCAGTAGGTATTTCTGTTATATCTGAAATTCTATTAGACCATAAATCTAAATATTCAACATCTGGCCACATTACTGCACATTCCATAATCTATAAAATACATGACTTGTATGTCAATATAATTTAATTGTTAATTTTAATAAATAAACTAATTAATTTAAATAAAATATTTCTACTTTTTTACCTGAGACCAATTATAGGACATTTTGTTCAGAATTAATGTTTTTATAGTTCTAAATGCTGCCTTAAGTTCAATTGGATTTTCAGGAATTAACAGTTTGTTTTCACTAAATATTTTATAAACAAAATTAAAAGGAAATTTATTCAATTAAACAATCAATAGATAGTTTAATATAATATATATATGTAAAACATTGTACAATATAAATAATAAAACAAATTACCAATTTTATTATAAGTCAAATATTTATTGATCTATAAAGGTTTGTATCCTTATATATTCATTTATCAAAAGCAGAAAATAATATATGCTGTAGTTATTTTAAAAAATATATTTCAATACACAAAATTATTAAACAAAAAATTTAATTGTGAAGAATACAATTAGAAATACTGTGAACAAAGCATGCTAGTTACTGCTCTATTACAGATCAAGAGAATTTTTAAATTATGAACATTTATTTACTACAAATTTGGGAGAAAACAATTGAAACTCCTTGCTGCATTGCCAAGTAAACATTATACTCAATCGCCTCATACAATACAGCATTATGAATACTACATTTATGAATTATTTAGTGACATTATAGAATAATAAAAAATTTGTTAACTCTTAAATATTTTTACAAAAGAGGTTTAAATTATTATAAGTTTGTATATTTTTTGAAATTTGCAGATCTTAAGTAAATATTGATTTAATAATATATGATAGTTTTTTATAGCAGAATATAGGTGCTTCAGATAACTTAAGAATCCAAATTTCCATTTGATTATTATAAAATCTTTTTATATTGATTTCTTCCATTTCATAATATTTAATGTAATAGGGGGTGCACCTATCAATTGGAGCTGTTGGCATGATTTTCTGCGTACTTCGATATAGTGGAAATATTGAATATTAAATGCCAAAAATACTTATTGGTTTATTTGCTTGCATGGGTTATTAGAGTTAAAGAATTTTAAATTTATTAGAAGAGATATAGTAGAGCGTCGATTATCCGAAAGAATTCCAGCCGGCAAATTTAAATTTTTGCCAGTGCTGTGGCGCTGCAATCTTTGGCTATGTCTTGGGCTACTCAAATATTTTATGTTTTTGATACTAAATTAACTTCTGAAGTATAATTTTTTATTGTTTTTATATTTTTCAATATATTTATTTTGTTCATAGAAAATAAAAAAATAATTTTTAATGATACAATAGTCTTCATTAGGCTTAACATCGACAAAAATTCAATGCAAAGCGACATGCAACAGAGAAAAATTTCAACATGGAATAGGTTAATATATTTTTTCATACATAATTGGTTATCCGAAATATCGATTTTCTGAACAACCCCAGTCCCCAATTGATTCGGATAATCAACGCTCTACTGTAATAACAATAACTAAGATGCAACGCTCTCCAAAAAAAAGAGGAAAACCTCCAAGTCACCGAACCAAATCAGATAATAGTAAGGAAACTTCATCGTCATCTAATGTTAGACTTATAACAGAATACAATACATATGCCAAAAAGATCTCCCCTGAATCAACTACTGCAGATACTGGACTAAATCCGGAAACAACACTTTAAAGTTCACAATATTCAGGTGAGACAATTGAACCTTTTTTTTCTTCATCAGATAATCTGAAAAGTTCATCTGACATATCAACTACAGCATTATAAAATAAAATTTCCGAATTAATTAATATGTCAAATACAATCAAATGACATCTATCAAAGAAGAACTGGACCTGATTCATAATAGTGTCCAAGAAACTAAAGAGCAAAATAAAAAAATGAACTCTCAAATTACTAATCTTGAACAACAAATCGTTAATCTGAAAATGGAAAATGAAAAAATGCAATATCAAATGGATTATCTGGTAAATGAACAACATCATAATAATATAATATTATATAGATATCCTAGTAAAATAAGTCCCACCAAATTAGAAATTTATAATTTGGTTAATTTAAATGAAAAAATGCAATATCAAATGGATTATCTGGTAAATGAACAACATCCTAATAATATAATTTTATATAGATATCCTAGTAAAATAAGTCCCACCAAATTAGAAATTTATAATTTAGTTAATTTAACATTAAAACTACAATAAATCACTCTGGACGATTTTATAGTGGTAATTCCAATGACTAAATCAAAATATCCAACTATTAAGTTAATTTTTAAAAATATTAAGATTCGAGATTACGTATATTCCAGTTTTATTAAAATGNGTAAATGAACAACATCATAATAATATAATATTATATAGATATCCTAGTAAAATAAGTCCCACCAAATTAGAAATTTATAATTTAGTTAATTTAACATTAAAACTACAATAAATCACTCTGGACGATTTTATAGTGGTAATTCCAATGACTAAATCAAAATATCCAACTATTAAGTTAATTTTTAAAAATATTAAGATTCGAGATTACGTATATTCGAGTTTTATTAAAATGAAACAGCAAAATTTATTGAATGATTGGAAAGATACTCAAATATCACAGGATCTTACCAAGATATCTAGACTACAACGTAAACAACTACTTCCTTTTTTATATGAATTAAGGAAAGAAGGTCAAAACCTAAACTTTGTGGTGATTGCATATTATTGGATCAATATTCCTTGACCTATAGCTATGTTTCGGAGGGACTGGTATGTACTGATTCCTTTACCCCTTTTTCTATATCTAAAACTAAATCACAATGACTTATGGTTAATCAAAATTGTTCTTTCCAAGTTAAATTTCTATTTCAGTTAATAAGTAACCAAAATAAAAACTCATCTATTATAAATGATACATGATATTAAAAATTTTTAAAAATTATGCAGTCTTTTGGTATTTCTATATTGTTTCTCAACTCAACTGAAGACAATTGTAAATATGCATATTCTTTAATGATGAATACTGCTTTATCTCAATCAATTGTTAAAGATCAAGGTTCCATTTTAAATTCGACTTATCATTATTGGTATCTGAATATGTTGCATTTTCTGTCAAATTTGAATATTATTATGTCAAACACTAAATTAAATATTAAACGTACGCTAATTCAAATTCGACTTAATTATAATTTGTTACTGATTAGTAACATATACATTGACTTCTCAAACAAATGTTATTGGTGTAAAGCAGAATCTTTTAATATATATCATATTCTCATCGTATGTCCGGCTATTGAAGAAGCACAACATAAATTGAAAATTAAAGATGTTTGACGCTAATCATAAAATTTTCGATCTAATCTTGACAATATACCAATATGCAAGATGTATAAGATTCATAGATTTTTTTATTTATATTTTAAATAAGCTGAACAATGGTCTTGATTATTGAATAGTAAATATGTTATGTAACATTAATCTAATGTAACAAAATTTAAATAAATATCCTTGTTATTTTTGTTAATACCCCCTGTAACAAGATTATCTTATTACAATAAAATGATTGAATATATATTTAATGTAATATAATCCTATTTAATTTCTTTAATTTTCCTTGTCATTTGCTTAATAACGTGTGAGGACATTTTATGCATACTTTAACAAATTTATTGATTACTTTGTAAGAAATCAATTGATTAATTTGTAATAAACTGATTTCTTTAAAATTCTTTCTAATTTTCAAGAAGTCAATAATTTATAAAAATAAATTAAAAAACTATTTCATATATTTTTCAGTTATTCTTCATTTACTCATTATTTTGTTTATTGACTCACATTAAACAATTTATTTCAATACTTGTTAAGAAAGGTGCTACTAAATCAAGGGTGCTCAAATTTTTTGACTGCTGACCCCTTCTGGGCTTTCTTGAAATTTTATCAACACACTTATATTATCTTTCAACAACAAAAAAAAAATGCTATAAAATCAATTTTTCTTGTTTACATGTAATGCATATGTTTACATATCAAAGTAGATAACAACTTAGAATTTAGGATCACTTTCACTTTTAATTCTTCA